AAAAAAAAAAAAAAAAGCTTAATTCCACAAACTTCTATCAGACACCTATGAGCTAGGTGTCGGGGGCATGGCTGAGGACCACCTCTCTGCCACTAGGGAACCTGAAGACGATAGCACTGTATCACTTCCCATGATGATAATCATGCAAAGTCCTAACAAGACTGTGTTGAATATAAAATCCTATATTGACAAATGTGCGTACACATGTGGGAGCTCGTGCATTCCGACACCATCCTAAAAAAAGTTGTTTCTTTTTGTTTGTTTGTTTGCTCTGCCACCAATAAAGGCTCCATTTGGACACTCCGTCATGTTTCATTTCTACCTGGCTGAGTCACTTTTGCTCCCAAGGGCCCAGGGTCTTTTCTGGCACCAGAGAGCCCTAAGAACTGCCTGTGCGTGGGCAGGGTGTAAGCCTGGGGCCGCTCGTCGCCCTGCTCGTGGTCCTCTGGCTGTGTTTCTGAGACACACACCCCCCTACACACACCCACACGCGCGCTGTAATTGGCCAACTTCCTCCTCCTGTTCTTGGAATAGCAATGGAGACAAAAAGCAGCCAGCACGAGTGGCTTGGGCTCGCCAACGCTATAATTCAGGACAAAACCCTTGTAATTCTCTAAATGGTGGGGTTTTTAAATAGGCTGGACTTCAACACCCTGTTTTCTAAAAAAGAAAAATAAACCGTGCCCAAGGCATCGCTCTTCTAACAAACCAAGTGACTAAGAACAGTCCCAGGGAAATAGTCCAGTGGATTTGGAATGCAAGCCTTACAAAGGTTCACATTTTAGAAACTACTGATTCAGGAGAGACTTCCAGGGGAATCTGTTTGCCCACCTGAGGGCCTCTTTGTTTAGGTATCTTTAATCCTAAAGAAATAATTAAAATGTGGTCTCTTCGTAGGAATTTCCACCTACTAACAACTGATGGCTACCCCACGCCAGCTTCAGACTTCATGGAGTGCCTCTGCCTATGAGCAGGGTGTGAGTGGCTGTGAGGAGCCAGCGGGAACAGACATGGAGAGAGGGGGGCCCGAGTTTGCATAGTTCCTTTACAAGGCTCAAGGTGCTGCAGTCCCAACTCCGGAGAGGACTCAGGGATAAGGAGCGGGGGAAGTTAGGAAGGCCCCTGTGAGCGTCTCAGGCCTCACACTTCCACAGGCCTTCTGCCCTGGGTCATCCAGAAGCATGCATGTCACAGGTCTTCCCCATCTGCAACCCCACCTCAGGGAGAGGACACCATTAATTACAGGCACAGGACACACCAGGGAGCAAGAATGTCCTCCTTAGCAAGCTTTTTTATATGCTCCTCAGGGGGAAAGTGGCCCAGGGCTGTGTTGGGACAGATTTGTGGGCAAGTGCCTGGTGATGCTGGGAGCAGGGTACACTGTGTTTCCTAAACATGGCAGCTGGGGACACCTCAACCAGGGCCTCCCCTGTCCAGCCTCTAGAGAAGAGGCAGTGGGGGTGCCCTAGAGTTTCAACTTCCCCTCCTTGACTAGTCTGTCATTGAGTTGGCAGAGTTGGGCCAGGAAACCGTCATTGGGGCCGATCTCACGGTTCTGCCTCACGATGCTCAGGGCAGACTTGACATCCATCTTCTGACGCATCATGAGGTACGCGATAACTAGAGTTGGGGAGCGGCTGTAACCTTCACGGCAGTGGACCAGCACACGGCCTGTAAGAAATGGGGTGACATGGTGAGCTGGGGCCATTCAGTCACACCATGACTCTAGTCAAAACTCACCCAACAAATGCAAATGACAAATACAATGCAAGGCCATTCTGTACCCACCAGGATGGCTAAAATGAGAAACAGAAAACACAAAACGTCAGTGAGGATACAGAGCAGCCAGGACTCTGACAGTGGCTGGGAGGGGGTGCACACCAAGCTGGCACACCACTTGGAGAAACTGAAGCAGGATCTACTCAAGCTGAACCCATGCATCCCCTACGGCCCAGCAATTCCACCCCAGATCCATACCCAGCAGGAATGCGCACCCACAGTCACCAAAGGACATGCTTCAGAGCGTTTACAGGCAGCACTATCCATAATAGTCCCAATATGGGGACTCCCAAAGGCTCATCAACAGCACAATGAATAAATAACAAGAACGTACAATCTACAAGTTATCAGCAACAACAGGGATGAAACGCACCAATAGGATGAATATGGCTCCATGGAGCAGGAGAGCAGGCAAACTGATCTATGCTGTTAGAAGTCTGGATAGTGATAAAGAATTGGGAGCAGAGGGATTTGAGATTGAGCACATGGTGGGCTTTCTGGGGTGCTGGTCATGTTTTGTTTCTTGATCTGGGGGCTGGTACATGGGTGTTTGCAGTGCACTGGTTTACACACTTGTGATATGCCCACTTCTCTATGTGAATCTTGTATTTCAATCCAAAGCAAAACATGGAAACAACCCAAATGCCCATCAGCAGGTGAATGGATAAACAAACTATGGTACATCCATATGACCAAATACCACTCAGCACCGAAAAAGATGAACCACTGATATGCGCAACAATACGGATGAAATGTGAGTGAAGGAAGCCAGACCAAAAAGGCGTGCATGCTGTGAAATTCCATCTACATAAACTCTACTGAAGGTACCGGGGTCTAGTGATAGGAAGCAGATCAGTGGTTGCTTAGGAATGGAGGGTGCAAGGGAGAGGTCACAAAGGGACAGAGGAAAATTTGAGGGGTGACGGATATGCTCACTATCTTGGTTGTGGTGATGGTTTCACAAGTATATACATATGTCAAAACTTGCCAAATTGTACTATGTGTAGTTTATTAAATGTCAGTTAAACCTCAACAAAGCAGTTAAAAAATAAAAGGAACCAAACCGTCAAATGGAAAAACAAACCAAGACCAAAAAATCAGACACACAAATACACCATCTCATGGCTCATGAGACCCTGCAGCATCTGGCCCCCACCTGACATCATCTCCTCCTCTCCCTCTTCTGTTCCTATCACCCTTTCCCCAAAACACAGCTCTGTTTTCCCAACGCCTCCCAAAGCAAGAAGGAGGAGTCTTCCACTTTCCTGCCCATTCTCTCTCCGGCCAGTGTACCCTAAAGTACTTAAAGTGGGGCTTTCCCTGCCCCTGCCCTGGCCACGGGACCCTCTGCAGAATAGCTGCCTCACCACCTGGAACACACTCAGCATACCCAGGGCTCACAGAGCCAATGGGAAAGGGGAAGGTTCAAAGCCCATCCTTCCAGGCCACAGCCAAATGCTACCTCCTCTGTGAAGCCTCCCTTGATCGTCAGGGCTGGAAGTGATTGTTCCCTCCTGGGCGCCGCTGGCTGTCCCTGCATCTCTCCAAAGTGATGGGCCCCTGGCTCCCCTGAGCCCTGCACACTGTGGAAGGCCAGTGAATCTCTGTTGATTCACTTGGCCAATCAACCTTAGCAGCATTTACACTTGGCATTAGAACCCATGGAATTCATTTTTGTCACTCATTCAGTAATCACTTCAAGTGTTCCTGCTATGTGCCCCACGCTACATCAGTTCTGGAAAGACAGACAAGAGACACAGTGGACCCAGCCCGAGGGCAGGCTTCATGGAGGAGAGGACAGTAGGTCCAGTGCTAAAGCTCACAGTGGGGTTTGCCAGAGGACAGTGTTGGGAGAGTCAGAGAGAGCTTTCCAGACTGATAACCTAGACCATGTGCGCTAAGGCAGGAGGTCACAAAAAGGTAGGGTATGTTCCTAGTTGTATGGAAAGAGGAAACAAAGTCAGCTCTAAGTTTCCTGAATAAATGATCAACCCATATACAAGAGTAACATCCGTCCCCTTAACTGGGATCCTGTTCTTATCTACACAGGAGCTCGGAACAGCTGGAGTGGAGGGGGTAACACATACTTGACCATGAGGACCACAAAAGACCTGACAGTAAAGTCTGCAGATTCTCCAGGCGCTAAAGCTTCCCTCCTGGGCCCCGAACATGAGATGCCCAGCGTCTAATAAACTCTGTTCACTGGCGGTCATTTCAGTGGGGAGGCTGCTGGCACAAGAAGCATCAGTGTAGCAGAGAGCAGGCCAGCATCGGGGGGACAGGGCTGATCACACCTCAGGTTTGGGGTGAGGAGGAAGGAAGGGTCTAGAGGCAGCGTGAAGGTAAAGGCAGCTGCTGAGAGAAGCTAAAAGCAGAAAGGGCACGTGGCCCAGCCTGCCCAGCGGATATCTGCCCTGGCCTTCTAGGATTTCTCTCCAGCACGCCTTGCCCAGCTGCCAGCGCCTCAGCAGGTCTGCTTCAGTCTTACGTTTGGGAGCTGCAGGAAGCATTTAAAACCTGATGGGAAGATTTGGCTGTGGGCTATAGTTTGCTGACACCCAGCCTAAGCCAATCATGGCTGCCCCATTCCCCTTGCTAGGTACTCGTATCACCCAACTCTAGCCAGTGAGATGTGAGGAGAATTCCACTGGAGGATTTCTGGGGAATGTTTTACTTGCTCTTAAAAAATTAGAGAAACATGAGGGAGAGGTGGCTGCTGCATCTTTTGCTCAGAATGGTAACCAGAATGCTGCAGCCATCTGGGGACCATCAGGAAGTGGCCAACACTGAGGGTGGCAGAAGAGAGAGGGAAAGCACCTAGTGTGATGCCGCCATTGAGCTGCTGAATCAACCAGCCTGCAGGCTCCTTCACCTCAGGACTTTTTATCATGGAAAATAAATCTTCCTTACTGAAGCTCTTCGAATTGGGGGATGGCGCTGGAAATGAACCCTCAGTCTAAGTCAAATTAAACACACGGGCCCCGAGGCTGAGGCTGCACAAAAGGTTTGGATATCTTGTGTAACGTGGGGCCACCTGACAGGCAGCCAGAGAGAGACTCAGAGCTCTCAGTCATTCACCACAGGAGACAGGAAACAACAGGTTTGCCAAGAAAAAGTCTAATCAAAGCTGCCTCCCTTTGTTTCCTGGCGGGGCGGGGCGGGGCGGGTCCCTTACCGTTCTTTTGAGCCAAGGCCTGGTCGATGAAGTCTGCAGCCCTTTCAAAGTAGGCGCTAAGGTTGAACTCCTGCGTGTCATTGGCCTTGATGCCCAGGTAGATGATGCCAGAGTCCTTGTAGAAGTTGGCATTGGTGTTGACGTGCATGAAGGACCTGCCCTCAGCAGCGTTCAGGACGTGGGTGATGCCCAGTTTCTGCAGCTTAGGGATGTCTTGAGCCACAGACCTGGACAAGGGACAGCAGCAGGGGATACTTAACTGACCAACTAACTGGCAGCCCCAGGGGAAGGAAGAAGAGCCTAAGCCTCTTGGCAAAGAGAGAAACCCTCCATGCTCTGGCCCCTGCCAGAGCTTCTCCTCATATGATGACCCTCGTGGCTCCCCCCAGCTATATCTAATTACCAGTAGCTGCCCCAAATAGACTGGGCGGTTTCATGTCTGAGCTGTTCCTTCTGCCTAGAACGCCCTTCTCCATGGACATGCACCCTCTCGTTTTCCACCACCCTCTGCAGGATTTCCTGATTTCCTCCATTCCATTCGGCACCATGCTCCCTATCCTGTGGTGGTGGTATAGCCAAGTGGCTAAGAATGGGCTCTGGAGCCAGGCTGCCTGAGTCTGAATCCAGCCCTGCCACTTACCAGCCAAGCAAGGTTGAGCAAGTCACTTAACCTTTCCGTGACTCAGTTTCCCTGTCTGTAAAATGGGGATGATAACAGTACTTAGCCCCTGGGATTTGTGAGTATTAAATAAGCTATTCTATAGACAGAGCAAGACACTGAGTCAGCGCTACTATTGTAACACTTGATTATGCTCATTTGTTTAATGTCCAGGCTATGACCTCTGTGACCAAGGAACCATAACTGCTTCAGGTCTGTATGCCCAGCACCTGCTATGGTACCTGGCACAGAGTAGGTGCTGAATGGATATGTGGTAAATCAGTGAAGAAGAATAAAATCAGCATGTCCCAGGCAGCCTCCTTCCTTGGATTATAAAGTACATCAGCCCTTTCCCATCCCCCAGAGGGATCCTTCCTACCACAGTCCACTAGCCACATTGCTGACACTCTCTTGGGTGAGTAAACACTTTGGGAGCAATGGCCCCAATAGGACTACGAGGGTTACAACACGTGTGATCTGAATAGTCAAAGGGCTCCTTTATTTCATCTCACAACAACATCCCAATTCAAACAGCCGTTTATACATTACAAAACGTCTTGTCCTACATGATCTTGTTTGCCTGTCACAGCATCAGTCCTGTGAGGAAGAACAGAGCTTAAACTCTGGCCTGACAGGACAGCAGCAGGGTGCGCATGTGCTCATATGGGCTGCTGAGTGGCAGAGCTGGGAAGAGACCTCCTTTCTCTGGCACCAGCTGCACTGCTCTGTCTTCCCCCTCACTCTGCCTCTCATGCCCACCCCACTGCAAATCCCGACACCCAGAAAATGTGGCTCATCTCTTTCCTCTGAGCCCTGACCAGGAGCCCTGATTTTGTTAAGGGGCACCTGATGGGTGGGGTAGCACTAAGTATTCAGTCAATGCTCTCTGCTGGGTGCCCCACACACCTCTGGCTAAGTCAAGGTCAGATTTGCTTAGAGGGCAAGGAATGTGTTTTCTACAGTGGCTGTCAGCACTTGCCACTCTGGCTACAACCAGATGTTGACAGTCTTAGTTTCCACTTGGGAAGTGGTGACAGCTGAATGTGCCAAACTGCCCAAGAGATCAGGGTTTCCAAGGGTGCCAAGGCTGCTTGCTGCTTGGGTGGCTGGAGAGGAGGTTATCCGCAGAACTTTGCAATTACTAAGGCCTTTGGCTGTGATCCTAGGACTCCGTTTTATCTATCCCTACTCACATCACTTCATGCAATGGTAAAGCAGTGGCTCATTAAAAACAAATAATAAAATAACTTTGAAGTCACTTCCATTCATCTCCCTTCCCTAATACTAATTCACCATTCAATAAGTTTACTATTATCATTACTATCACTACTATGAATGAACATTGTACACTGCCTGACACATAGGTACTCAATATAATGAATGAATGATAGAATGAATGAGACAGTCCCCTATGAGGCTGGGACCTGCCTTATGGACCCCTTCAAGCTCCAAGATGACCCCCATTTCTGTGGCAGTCCTTGGCAGAGTAAACAGCAGGTCCTAGTCCAGGACCAGGGGATACAGACATGAGCAAGACATTGACCCTGTCCTAGCAATCCTTCAACCACTTGCTTGGTTGCCACTATCTCTTCCCGTGTAAAACAAGAGAAGCGGGTAATTCTGGGTTTCTAAAATGCAGCCCCTGGGCCCATGGATCTCAGGGCATTGGCAATTGGGTCCTTGGGGTCTTATGAAAGTCCAACCTGAGTCCTCCCAAGGCTGTACAGACTTGGTAATCTATTCTTTACATTTGGGCTGGCATATCAGCATCTCTCAGAATGGTTAACACTGGGTCTCCCCTGCTGCTGAGAATTTCTTACTAGTAACTTGACTATCAGAAAATGGGAAAACCAATTATTTAAGAACTTGTAAGTGATAAATAGTGCATTTCCTGGTACTGAGAAGGTGGAAAGCCCTTTCTACGTGATGGCTCAGGTCCTTATGGGGTTTATCATCGGATCAATCTAGAATCCATGTAAATCAAACCCTATCTGGAAGGCGGGAGAAGGAGCGAGGAAACCCTGGCCCAGCTCTCTGGTTCCCCCTCATTTGGGGTATTTCGATTCCCGGGTCTGGACTTGCCCGGCGGGTTAAAGTTCCACGCCCGAGTTGTGACGTTAGCTCGTTGCCATGGCAGCGAAGGCAGACATTCCGCGGTGACCTCACTGCAGAACCAGGCAGCTGTCACATGACGCGCCGGCCGGAGAAGCGCCGGGCGACAGAGGGCCACCTGTTTAGTGAACATGGTAGCCCCGACCCCGCCCAAGGCCGAGTCCCTACCGGGGGGCGGTTGCGAGCCGGACGTGGCGCTGGCCGAGCCCCCGGGCTCCGCGCACCCCCGGAAAAGAAAGACCACGCGGCCGCGGGAGGGAACGAGCCCCTCCGCCC